ACCTGCGCGCAGGGGGAGAGGTCGGGGAAGGGGAGGGGAAAGCGGTGGAGGGAGCGTGCGGGACCGGCGGTGAGGGCTCAGGGAGGAAGTTGTGCTTTCCATAAAAACCTAGGAGGGGCCTGGGGCGTGGTCAGTGGTTGAGCTCGGACCTCTGAACCAGGAGGTCACGGGTCACACGCCTGGGTTGCTGCTCCTTCGCCGGTGTGGGGCGTGCAGGAGGCAGCCGGTGGATGATTCTCTGAGAGAGAGAGAGAGAAACATTAATCAATGATGAGAGAGAATCATCCATCGGCTGCCTCCTGCACGCCCCCTGCCGGGGATGGAGCCGCACCCTGGGCATGTGCCCTTGACAGAATCGAACCCGGGACCCTTCAGTCCGCAGGCTGATACTCTATGCGCTGAGCCAAACCAGCTAGGGCAAGATGTTGGGTTTTTTGTTTGTTTTTAATTTACAAGGATGGGATGAAAGGGGGATCAAAGATCCTCAATGCCCCCAAAGTCCAGCCTCCCACACCCCTTTCATCCGGTTACTGTTAATAGCAATACTAGTATAGCAAGCCATACTTAGGAACAGATAAAGAATAAATCACGTGACAAAATGATTCCATGGTCCCTTTGAGACTCAGTGACTTTTAAACTTTGACCAACTCCACCCACAATAACACGTTTTACATCCCACCTATCGCACACACCCATATATACTAGTATATATATATGCATATATAACTGAAGTAAAAGCTTAACCAGACAACACGTTTATCTTTACTACATATATCACATATAATATACAATATGTGAATATATGATATGTATATACTGTAATGTTTTTTATTCTCTCTCTTTTTTTTTTTTTTTTTGCTGCTGCTGCTGGTTGGGATCTGCTAAATTGGTTTTATGAACTCCCTTCTCCCCTCACCAATGAGTCTAATCAAAGTATATGATCCCAGATAATAAAGTATCTGAGGGAGAAACTTCAAGTAACTATTACGGATCAATGAGAAATTGAGATAATATAAACCTGCCCTAACTGGTTGCTCAGTGGATAGAACATTGGCCCTTGGACTGAGGGGTCATGGGTTCGATTCTGGTCAAGGGCACCATACCTCGGTTGCAGCTTCAGTTGCAGTGTGTTGGGAGGTAACCAATTATTTAAAAAAAATTTTTTATTGATTTCAGAGAGGAAGGAAGAGGGAGACAGAGATAGAAACATCAATGATGAGAGAGAATCATTGATCACCTGCCTCCTGCAGGCCCCACACTGGGGATCGAGCCCACAACCTGGGCATGTGCCCTGATCAGGAATCAAACCCTGACCTCCTGGTTCATGGGTTGATGTTCAACCACTGAGCTGCACTGGCCAGGCTAAAATGCTTTTATTTTTATTCGTTTTCATGATATGGGATAGGAGATAAACTACTGAGGTCCATCCCTGCCAGACCTCAGGGATGCTGTGGTTGGAAGGGTGGGGAGACGCTGGGAGGCAAAGGTTGGGGTAATAACTTGGCTGCTCTGACTGGTGACCCTGGGACCCAGGGAAGGATGAGTCCTGGAATCAGGGGTTAGATGGAGAGGGCTAGAATCCTACTGGAGTTTATAGAGGTCATTTATCCAACCTCTTTGTAGAACAGCCTGGGGAAGCTGAGGTCAAACCTGCCTGAAGGCGTTAGCTGGGACCTGGATGCTCTTCAGGGCCCCTGGAGACCCGGGTGGGCACTCCTTCCATTGCCCTGGGAGCTTCCCATGAACTTCTCTTCCCACCAGCTGTGGCCACTGCGAGCAGAATGAGCCGTGCTCTGCCGACACAGGCAGCTGTAAGTCCTGCGAGCCGGGCTGGAACGGGACCCAGTGCCTCCAGCCCTGCCCACCTGGTACCTTCGGTGAGAGCTGTGGACAGCAGTGCCCCAAGTGCAGGCGTGGGGAGGCCTGCCAGCCAGACACTGGGCACTGTCTGAGCTGTGACCCTGGCTGGCTGGGGCCCAGGTAAGAGGCCAGCCTGCTCAGGATGGGGTATACCTTCCTTCAGAACCCTCACCCCAGCCGCTCCCTCTGGTGTAGGCGTCCCCTCCCCAAACACACATTCACACAGCCCCCTGGGGCTTGCCACCTGGCAAAGCCTGCTGGGGCCTGGGCAGGGTTCTCGTCCAACTCCCTGCCACTCAGGCTGCCTGCCCTCTTCTCCCTCCAGGGATCTCTAGTCGGCCACCTACTGGCTTCGGCCTGGCTTCAAGGCCCTGTTTGTGCCTGAGCTTCACTGCTGAGGACCCACAGTTGGGTCCCCGAGTCCAGAAGCATGGGGGACGATGGGTAGAGCCCCCTTTGGGGGCCGGGCCTGCCCTGTCCCCCAGTTCAAGTCTTGCCTCACCTCAGGTGTGAAGACCCCTGCCCAAGTGGCACATTTGGGGAGGGCTGTGGCTCCACCTGCCCCACCTGTGTTCAGGGGGCTTGTGATGCTGTGACTGGGGAATGTGTCTGCAACGCTGGCTACTGGGGACCCAGGTGAGGACTGGGGCCCTGGCAGAGAGGCGGGGGCCTAGGCCAGGCCTCCGTGCAAGCTGTTTCCTTTAACTTCCCTTCTGGGCTTCTCCACCTTCCACATACCCACCCAGCACCCTCAAAACTCCTGTTGTGGGGTCTGCATCTTCCAAAGGAGGCTCAGAGTAATGCTTATGGAAAAGGCCTGGTTCCCGAGCTAGATGGGGAAGCTATTCAGGGGTAGGGCTCCAAACCCCACTGTTGTTTCCCTAAGGTCTTCAGGTAGTAAAACCTAATCCACGTCCATGTTTCCAGTGTCAGATTTACCACCTCTGGGACAGGATCTAGAATAACCTGGAAGAGACCTCATTTTATAGAGGAGAGAACCAAGGCCCAGAGAGTCAGGGGCGGGGCTGGACCTGGCTGGCTTCCAGACCCTGAGGATGTCTGATGCCATTGGCATCTTGCTTAGTTCATATTAGTGCTGGGTGGGTAAGGGATGAGGCTCATGAGAAGTGGACTCTGCCCGAGGGTTACGCCCTGGGGCTGGGGACAAAGGACAGCGTGGGGGTAGTTTCCATGACAGATGGGCTGAGGGGCTGAGGGATTCCCTCAGATGCTGTCAGGGGTACTGAGAATGTGGCTCTGAGGCAGGAGAGGTCTGCCCAGGCATCATCTAGGGGAGTCTGATGGCAGGGGTAGGGAACAGTGCCCAGAAATCTGCCTTCCCCTATCCCAGTGGTTCTCAACCTTCTGGCCCTTTCAATACAGTTCCTCATGTTGTGACCCAACCATAAAATTATTTTCGTTGCTACTTCATAACTGTAATGTTGCTACTGTTAGGAATCGTCATGTAAATCTCTGATATGCAGGATGGTCTTTGGCGACCCCCGTGAAAGGGTCGTTCGGCCGCCAAAGGGGTCGAGACCCACAGGTTGAGAACCGCTGCCCTTTCCCCTGCCCACCTCCACCCCTTCTCACCCAGCCTCAGCTTGTCTCTCCTTGTCACCCACAGCTGCAACGTCTCATGCCCATCTGGCTTCCATGGAAACAACTGCTCTGCTCTCTGTGAATGCCCGGAGGGACCCTGCCACCCTGTCTCTGGGGCCTGCCAGCTGGGTAAGGTGGAAAGGAGGGTGCAGGGTACAGTCACCTGGGAAAGATTGGCCCTTTACATGGGCTCCATTTGCCAGGGAGTCTGAGCCCACAACAGAGACATTCCTTGTGCCTGAGATCTGTATGGATGCTCTGGGGTCCCCTTAAGATGTGACAGAGTCCCTGTTCCCTGAGACACCAGGCCAGCACCCAGGAAATGAGCAGGTAGGGCTGGACGCTGGGATGTGCATCAGGCGTGAAAACTAGGGGCGAGGCTTGTGGAACAGACCACGGGCCAGCAGAAGGGGACAGGCCAGCGTGTGGCCTCCAGGCTGAGCAGAGTCTACGTCTCTCAGAAGAGACACCCACAGGTGGAAGACTGTGGGGAGGAGGCAACTCAGCTAGAGGTGAGACATGTATGGGAGATGAGAAGGCCCTGAATATTTGATCCGCCTCCCCACCCCCGCCCCCAGGGTCTCACAGTCAGGACGCCACCCTCATCGCTGGCATCCTTGTGCCTCTGCTGCTGCTCCTCCTGGGCATTGCCTGCTGTGCCTGCTGCTGTTGGGCTGCCCGGTTGGACCCCAAGGACAGGTGAACACTGGCTCTCCTTGTAGGGGTGGGGAGGGCTGACCTTGTCACACACCTAGGTCAGAAGGGATGGGGTCGTTGGTAGTGGCCTGGAGACACCAGGTCAGCGCTTGCCTTCCTCAGAAGCCTTCGGTGAGAGTCACATGCGCAGGGGCACCCCGCTGGTGAAACTCGAACCCACAGGAGGAGGCTGAGGGTGTACTAACAGGGGCCAGAGGAGGAGGGTGACAGGGAGAAGCAGCAGGGCAGCTTAGGGCTGGGAGCAGAAGAGACCAGGCCTCACCCCCCCCAGAAAGGAGAGTGACATAAAAGTCTGGGCAGTGGTTTGGCAGAGGATGGGCTTTTCCCAGAAGAGAAGTTAGGGTTTGGTGTTGCGGCCTGCTGGAGACCGCTGTTTCTATTGAGCTTTGTTCCTTTACAAAATCTCTTCCCGTTTCTCTGCTCCTTGGAGACTCACCGGATCATGGAGGTTTGGAGCAGGGAACGTGGGGGCAGGAGGAGTGGCACAGCACAGAGGACACCGATAAGGTGACTCGGTTGGCCACTGGCACACACAAAGCCTGGGCCCTGTTCTCTGGACTCTGTCCGGGGCTCTCTTACAGTTTGCACACTGATCCTCAAGTACGTCACCCTACGTGTGCTGGGGGGCCCTCACAGATGAGCAGGCCCAGTAGCCTGTCCCCTGAGGCATAGAGCCCGGGGTGGGGAAGAAGCCCCTCACATGAGGACCCGGGCATGTACAAAGGCTGTCAGAGGAATGGCAGGAGTGAAGCAGTCACTCCCAGCATGGGGACAGGGCCAACCGCAGGCTTCCTGGAGGTGGTGTCATTTTCAGAAAGCCGGGTGAGCTGGGACTTTGCTAGGATGGTGATAGCACATAGCTGCCTTTTGGGGAACCCCACCTGGTGCCTGGTGCTGTAGGGGGTCCTGAAAAAAGCTCTGACAGATTGTAGTTGTCCCCATTTTACAGATGAGGTAAGTGAGGCCCAGAGAGAGGTAAAGTTTGAGCAGAGTTGCTGCCCGAGGTTATTTGACTTTAGAGCCATGCTGCCCTCGGTGGCAGGCCCAAATCTCGGGCTCAATAGTTTGGACTTTACTCTGTGGCCACAGGGAGCCACTGAAGTGGACACAGCCACTCTGTACCCACTTCCTCACTGACACTAACCCCAGGACTAGGATGGGCCTGGCCCTTTTCTCCTCCTACCACCCTGCCCCAAGGAGGGGTCTTGCACACTGACCACCCTCCGACGCCCTCAGGCCAGCGAGCGATGGAGCTGCTGTGTCCAGGAAGAAGCTCCAGGTCTTGTGGGAGACACTGACCAGCCTGAGCTTCGCGCTGCCCTGCAGGTCCCTCAGCAGCCACAAGCTTCCCTGGGTGACAGGTAGGTGGGCGCTGAGGGTCGGGGCTGGAAGGGGACACGGCTTCCCGCCAGGCTCGGCCTGACCTGGAGCCCCCGCAGTCTCCCACCACGACCCGGAGATCCCCTTCAACCACAGCTTCATTGAGCAGCCCTCTGCGGGCTGGGCCTCAGACGACTCCTTCTCTTCTGATTACGACTGTGGAGAAGAGGATGAGGACCCTGCCTACTGCGTCCCACCCCAAGAAGGTAGGGACCCCCCCTCATCGCCCACTGGGGCTACTTCAGGTACTGCTTGGGGTCTGGGAATCCTTCTGATCCCTTTGTCCTAGAGATATAACCATTCCCTATGTTGTACTACTATAAAGTGTACAGTCTTCTACTGTGGTTCATAAAATGGAGACAAGCTAGATTCCCGTCCTTACCAAGCTTTTAGTCTGCTGGGCCATAACCAGACCCTTACAGGATAGAGTGATATGTGCTTGGTTGGGGGACATGCAAGAAGGGCTATAATCCAGCCATGTCAGGGGAGACTGGGGTCAGGGAAGATGTCTCAGTGTTAGTGACATTGGAGTGGAGTCCAGCAGAGTCACGAGTTAGCCACGTGAAAGTTAGGGGGAGGTGGGAATGGTGTTTCAGGAAGAGGGAGCAGTGTACACAGGCCCAGAGCGGGGAGGGACGAGGCTGTGTGGCATCGAAGAGTCTTAGCTTGGATAGAGTGTGACATTGAGTCAAAGAAGGGTGGGAGGCGAGAATAGAATGGAGAAGTAGTAGTGTCTATTGACACTGCTGTTCCTGCCTCTTTGCACCCTCACCCTCTACTTTGCCCTGTTGTCGCGGCCTCCCAGAAGGTGCTGCCCTGGGTAGGCAGGATGGGTTGGGGTGGCCAGCCCAGGTTTAGCCCAACGCTTCTGTCTCCTCCGCCAGGGATGGTCCCTGTGGCCCAAGCAGAGTCACCAGAGGCCAACCTGGGTGATGGTCCCTTCCCTCCCCCTGAGGATGCCTCCACCCCATTCGCTATCCCACGCACGTCCAGCCTAGCACGGGCCAAGCGACCCTCGGTCTCCTTTGCTGAAGGCACCAAGTTTGCACCGCAGAATCGCCAAAGCTCTGGGGAGCTCTCCAACCCGCTCCGCAAGTCCAAGCGGCTCTCCCGGGGTGGCCAGCCAGGCCCTGAAAGCCAGGAGGCTGAGGAGTCCACGGGCCCTGAAAAAACGGAAAGGGACAAGGCCCCTCCTGGGGCACCCAGCCCCAAGGATTCAGCCACGGGCCACCGCCGGCTCCCACTTGGTGGCCGGACCGTGGCTGAGCGCGTGGAAGCCATCGAAAGCAGTGTCCAGGAGAGCTCAGGCTCCGTAACCACAATATACACCTTGGCAGGGACACCCCGGGAATCTGAGGGCCCGGTCCGGTCTGTCCTCCGCCGTTTCGGTAGCTTCCAGAAAGGCCAGGCAGAGCCCAAGGTCAAGAGTGCCATCCCCAAGCCTCCACGTCGGGCATTGAGTCGGAACAAGGGCAGACCCGGGCAGGCCTCTGGCTCTGCCAGTCAGAGCCCGGGCCCAGCCCCCAGTGAGGAGCCCACTGGGGCCTCGCAGCCTGCAGGAACTGGGCCAGAGGAGGTGGCCAGTGGGCTGAGGGATGGCATCAAGAGCTCAGGGAGGGTCCAGGAGCTGGGCCCCGGTGGCCCCCCAAAACAGGATCCCCAGAAGCTGGCTGACGAGGAAGGGCAGGAGGAGCCCCAGTATGAGAATGTTGCACCCATCTCTGGGCCACCAGAGCCCTGAGGACTGAATTTGGGGAGTGGGAAGGCTATGGATAGGGGGTAGGCATCGAACTGCCTCTGCATCAGATTGTCTTTTGTGCTGGAAAAAGGTCCCAGGGCCAGGAAAGACCTCCCAGAACCTCTGCCCTTGGTGGGGAAACATCTGAGGTAGAGGCGAGTTGGCTCTGGGCCCTGGCGGTGTTCCAGGGAAGGTCTGGAAGGCCTGGGCAGAGACCCCACGGGATGGGGTCAGGAAGGGGAACGAGACGGCTGCAGGAACTTTTTTCTGTTGTCCTGGACTTTGCTTACCCCAAAAGGCTATTCTTTCCTTCATTTGCAAAATATTTTTCTAAAATGGAAAACAACCTAAATGTTTGATGATAAAAGATTGGTTAAATAAATATTTTTTTTGATAGGCTCCTAAACAACCACGAAAGATTGTTGTGTAAGAGAGCAAGAGAGAAACATTGATGCGTTGCCTCCCACATGGGACCCCGACCATGTGCTCGTACCCACAACCTGGGTATGTGCCCTGACCAGGAATTGAACCCGCCACCTTCGGTGTAAGGACGATGCTCCAACTGAGCCACACTGGCCAGGGCTTATTTTCTTTTTAAACTTTTGTATAATTTGCATATTTTGTACAGTAAATGTTCTTTTTACTTTTCTCACTCGATTAAACTTTTTTTTTTTTTAAAGTACTGTTCTTTGTTAAAAATAAATAGAACTAACATTATGGACATGTATGAAGTGAAAATGAGATTTCCCCTCTCTCCAGGGGAGTCTGGGGGACCAGGCAGGGGCCAGATTTACTTCTCACTGGATGTCTTTGCTCTTGTTCTGAATTCTTTCCTCACATTGTGGTCTTACCTAGTCAGGAAATAAAGAGCGGGTTCCCCTCCGGTCCTGCGCTCAGAGAACCTCATGGAAGTTTAGATGCTTCCTTTTAGATGTCTTTCTGTGCACATGAAAACAGAAGAGCCTACTGTTCTGCAATTTGCTTTTTTTACTTAATGTGTCCTGGATATCTTTTGGTGCCAGTAAATATAAAGCTACCTCTTTTTATTAAGAAATAGCTACATGGGATTTCATCATGTGGAAATAACACGGATTATGTAAACCATCCCCTACATTTAGGGATTTGGGTTGTTTTTCATTGTTTAAGACTATAAATGATGCAGTGTCCAACTTTGTCCATTTTTAAAATATATTTGTGCAAGTTTTTCTGTAGAAGAGATTCCTGCAAGGGGAATTGCTGTGTTATGGAGTCAGACCATTAAACATTTATGTATTTACTCCAAAAAAGTTGTATGGCTTTATACTCTCACGAATTATGGTGGTATCTATTTTCTCACACCCAATCTGATAAGTTCAAGATGGTATTTCATTATTTTAGGGCAACAAGAAGAAAGAAATAGGTCAAAGCTTTTATTTTCCTCTTTCTTTCATAGAGTCACTTTTATTGAGAACCATAGTTTTAGGAAAGGTTAAAGCTTTGATCAGATAAAAATATTTTTTTAAAAAATATATATTTTTCCAAAACCGGTTTGGTTCGGTGGATAGAGCGTCGGCCTGCGGACTGAAGGGTCCCAGGTTCGATTCCAGTCAAGGGCATGTACCTGGGTTGCGGGCACATCCCCGGTGGGGGATGTGCAGGAGGCGGCTGATCAATGTTTCTCTCTCATTGATGTTTCTGACTCTATCTCTCTCCCTTCCAGGAAGGGAGAGAGATAGAGAGTCAGAAACATCGATCAGCTGCCTCCTGCACATTTCCTACTGGGGATGTGCCCACAACCAAGGTACATGCCCTTGCCCGGAATCGAACCTGGGACCTTTCAGTCCGCAGGCCGATGCTCTATCCACTGAGCCAAACTGGTTTCGGCGATAAAAATATTTTTATTTTTGCTTTCTAACCATAAAAACGGTATAATTAAAATCTGATTTTCTATGATTATTCTAAGATTCTTCTAAGATTCTTCCTAAGATTCTTCTAAGATTATTCTCAAATATTTATTTGTATTTTTCCTATAGATTATCTGATTATTTTCCTTCCCCAATTTCATTTGAGGTATTCACCTTTTTCTCAGTGATTTATATATATTTCAAAGATATTAAAGATACATAACAAAATCAATGAACAAAGATAATGGAAAGTATTGTGGAGAATAGTCAGGGAAGGCTTCCTGGAGGAGCTGTCCAAAAAGGGACTCTGAGGCCCAGAGGTGAGAGAACAGCATGTGATTGGAGCATCTAGGACCAGGCAGGTCAACCAGCCTCCATGGGGAGAAAGAGACTGGTGGGAGGAAGGAGCCTGTGTGGGTCAGGTTGGAGAACTTGAACTTTATCCTGGAAGACAAATGGTAGAGCTTCTGACTGATTTTTAGCAGAGATCAGATTGACCAAGGTCAGATTTAAATATATATACACACACACACACACACACACACACACACACACACACACACACTGATTCAGAGAGGAAGGGAGAGAAACATCCTATATAATAAAAGCCTAATATGCAAATTGTCCCCTCTGGGGTCGTTCAATCAGAAGTTTGACCAGGAAACTGGGAGTTCGACCACTGGCTATGATGGTCTGAACCAGGGTGCCAGCGGCGGCTTCCCAGCGGCAGAGGGCGCTCTCGGACTGGGCGACATGGCACAGAGGACTCCCCAGCTCCAGGAGCCTGCGGGAGAGACCAAGCTGATCATCAGGAAGACCAAGGGTCCTCTGAGGTCAGGCTGGTGTCTCTGACGGAGAGACGAAGACGGGCAGCAGAAATTCCGGAGCCTGGGCTCCATCCCCCTGCCCTGGCAGTTCTGGCAGGTCCAGCTCGCCTACCAGACTGGGAGCTGGAGCCCTCCCGACTCCACGCCTTCTCCCCGAGGGAGGCCTGATTTGTCCCTGCAGCTGGGCGCTGCCCAGCCCGCCACCCTGAAGAGGGCCCCTGAGGAAGGCATCCGGGAAAGGGGCGGAGGTGGAGCAGACAGTGGGTATGGGATAGTCACCTTGGGCAGGGTTCCCGGGGGGGCCATGGGGAGTGGGTCAGAGTCTGGATGGGGCAACAGGGGAGACACCGTGCTAGGGGACAGACAAGCCCCAAACTCCCACCTGGGGTCCCCGAGGGGCGGGGCAGATGGCACCCAAGAGCGGGGTCGGTGGATCAGGAGAACAGGAAGAGGCACAGCGCGCCTGGGGCCCGCAGATCCGGAATGGGCCAACGTTGCCAGGATGGGGGGATGCTGGGGGCAGGAGGAAGCAGGATGGGTTGCGCTGGGAGGAGGCAGTGCGGGCGGCGGGAGTGCACCCACGGGGAGCCAGAGCATCGAGGCCTGGTGCCAGCACAAAGTTCGGGAAGTTGGGGGGCCCTAAGGCGGGGCGGAGAGCGGAGCGCAGAAGCCGAGCGGCGGTCGGAGTGATGCTGGGGACATCTGGGGGCCCGGGCAGGCCGAGCCCGTGACTCCACCCAGGGCAAGACTTCGGGGTGGGGCTCCGGAGAGGCGCTAGGGCAGTGTCTCCAGGGGTGTCCAGCCGGGCTGTGATTCCAGGTTAAGGTGGCGAAGGAGAGGGTCGGCCCACCGCTACCCCAAAGCACCCCCAGTTCTCCTGTTTGCCTCGGAGTCCGGCCGGAACCGGCTTCTGCTCGCGGCCGGGCGGGCGGGTGCCTTCTGATTGGCCAACGCCTGTTTCCAGCCACTCAGCCAATCAGCGCGCAGCAGTGTTTTCGTCTCGGGGTCCTAATAAAAGGGCTGTAATAAAAGAGGACAGAAAAGGCGCCGGCCGGGCCCGACACACGTCAGTAGGAACCGGGTGAGCTGGATCCTGGGAATCTGGGCCTCGGGGGCGGGTGCTGGGGCAGAAGGCTTGCGAGCAGGGCGGAGGCGGGGGAGTAGGGAGAAGATGTGTGAAAACATGAGAGGGAAGAGATTGGATGGATGGGGAGCCGACAGGAGAGAGGACGAATTTAGGAGGAGCAAGGAAGTGGAGGGGCGGAGGTCCGCTCCCATCGAAACGGGCCAAGTGCAGCTCAGGACGGGGGTCGCGCAGGTGGCCCGCGCCGCCGGTTTGAACCGGCTTCGCTTCTCCCATGCGGGGTTCGCGTGGCCGCAGCGCCTAGCGACCTAGGCTGCGGCCAATGGCGCGGCAGTTCCTGTGCCGTTCGGCCAATCAGCGAGCCGTGGGCGGACCGTAGGGGCTAGGTGCGCTGATCTTGTGGTTGAAAGAACCAGCTCTGGGGAAGGGTCTCCATTGCGGGCGGGCAGGCGGGCGCCTGTCAGGGTCCGAGGGAGTGGCCGCCCCCGGGTACGCCCTGGCCCAGGTGTCTGGATCTCAGGCTGCCGCCCCTGCAGACACCCAAGCTATGTCAGTCATGCTGGGAGCCAAGACGAATGCACGTCCCTGAGCTTGCGTTAGTCCCTTCCTGCTAGCGTGCCTCAGTTTACCTCTGAGTGAGCCGAGGGAGAAGTCTCCCTGCCTGGCCGGAGCGGCTCCCTCATCTCCGAGGGCAGCCCTGCAAGGCAGCCGGGGTGGGT